TCGGCGCCGTGGGGCGCCCGGACATTGGCCGGCCGCTGTGTTTTGGCTCGTCCGGAATCGTGATTGGCCAAGACCCGGCGTTTGGGGCGGAGCCGCGCGCGCTGATTGGTGCCCCGTGGGCCCGTTTGAACTCAACTTGAAAACCTGGAGTGCCTGCTGATTGGCCCAGGCCCCTCTGTTTGGTGTTGTAGGCTTGGGGGTGGTGCGGCCAAGTTCATTCATTACTTCATTGAAACGGAACATGCTCAGCTGGAAAAGCAAGACAGAGCGGCTTTGACTCATTTCCTCTGAAAGATGTGGTCATCTCGAGAAGCAGAACGATCAAAATAGAAAGCAGAGAGAGCCTCGCAGCTGCTCCAGCCTCAGAGATTGTTTATTTTTTTAAAATCTTTCAAGCAGCTCTACTTTTTTTTAGCCTTTAAAAAAAATATAACGTACTTTTTTTCATGCCTCCTTCCAGTCACTACGTAATAGGTAGGCCAGTTGTGTGTGTGTGTGTGTGCGTGTGTGTGTGTGCGTGTGTGTGTGCGTGTGTGTGTGTTTAGAACGTAGCTCTCTGAAAATGTAAACCAATGCTAATGTACACTAAATATAATTGCAAGGGAATAAGTAAGACTTTCTCAGTCACTAATATCCTACACTCGGACTTGTTGTTGTTGTGAAATTGATTGACCTAACCAGATATTTAATTTCTACCCTCTTTTTCGTGGGTGCCATACAGGTTCTGGCTCTCAATCCCAGCCATTTAAAAACAAAGTTTGTTTACAGTGCTCCGCCTCCTGGATTAGGATTTGACCTTCAGGGCTGTGTTTGGGAATTGAGGGGGTGGATAAAGAGCTAGGAGTTGCAGCAGACTGCGGAAGGGGCAGAGATGTAGGAAGATAATAGTACTAGAGATTCACTGTTAGAATGTCTGCTTCTTTACAAATGTATTAAGTTTTGGATCTGAAATGCCAATCCGAGAGTATCTTTTTTAAAAAATATATTTTATTGATTTTTTACAGAGAGGAAGGGAGAGAGATAGAGAGTTAGAAACATCGATGAGAGAGAAACATCGACCAGCTGCCTCCTGCACATCTCCTACTGGGGATGTGCCCCCAACCCAGGTACATGCCCTTGACCGGAATCGAACCTGGGACCCTTGAGTCCGCAGGCCGACGCTCTATCCACTGAGCCACACCGGTTTCGGCGAGAGTATCTTTTGAGGCTGAGAAGAAAGCAAGCTTTTCTGAGTTTGCCTGAAGAGGGTTTAACGCGCCATCGAAGAAAACAGGGCCATATAAACATAGAATATAAAGTGGGAAATAGTGACGCCCAATGTTTATTACTGATGAAAAGCAGCCTCGGCACTATCGTGAATTTTTCCCACTTAGTCTTTTGTTTTTGTTTGCGTTGAAGGGACAGGAGTCAGCTTTTTGCCTGCTGAGACCTGTTTCTCTTGCAGTAATTACACTTGGCCTCCCACAGGGCACCTGGGCTGAGACGGGGAGTGCAGCCGGCCGGCCGGAGAGTCGAGTCCAGGGCGCAGCTCTTCCCTCCAGTAATTGCAAGGTGAAAACAAAAGTGGGCAGCCAGCAGCTTCCATCTCCAGGGCGCTCAGGCCACAAGCAGCCCTAGAACAAGGAAGTACTGTCATTGCGGGGCTCGCTTTCACAGGTCCGTACAGATGCCAAACATGCCAGGGCCGTGAGTGGCAGCATGTACCTGGGCAGAGGCATTCAGCCCGCGGGAGCCCTTAGGTCTTAAGTAAGGAGTTCTCAAGGGAGACCAGGGGCCTGAAAGTGCCCAAACTGCCAAACCTCTTGCCTCCTAGATCTGAGGCCATCTATCCCGAAGGGTTGTTTAATGTTTACCATCTGCAGGGCGTAGCTACAGTCACTTGGGAGAGGCGTGGAAGGCAAGACCCCGAAGCCAGAGAGAGACCCGGTTACCGGGTTTTGGTTCTCTCCGGTGGGCCTGAGGTCGCTCTGGGCTGAGTGACTTGCGGCTGCGAGGGGGAAATGCGTAATCGATCCTTTGGCTTCTGGGAATCTGGTTGGGCTTCATCCTCCTGGGCTGGATAACCTGGGAGCGCCCGCCCCGGGAGCGCAGTGCAGGGAGAACGAATGAGGTCATGTTTGTAGAGGGCTTTGAGCTGTTGGGATGAAAGCGATCCCAACTGCAAGGTGTTATTAACTAAAGGTGTTATTATTTTAATCGGAGAGGACAATGTGCGGCAGGTAAAGCAGAGCCATAGAAACATGCCCATTGATAACAAATAAAACACAGTAGTGGCCTTGGAAGGAACAAAATCCTCCTTCCGTGAGTGGTCTCGGCTGCAGAGCGAGCGGCTGCGGCAGCTGAGATGAGAAACAGTCTTGGCCAGGATTTCCTTGGGGTTTGGATAACGAGGATGTTTTATTTTATTTACATATATATATATAATTGATTTCAGCAAGGAAGGGAGAGGGAGAAACATCAATGATGAGAGAGAATCATTGACCGGTTGCCTTCTGCACCTCCCCCTCAGCCCCCCAATGGGGACAGAGCCCACAACCCAGGCATTTGCCCTTGACTGGAATCAAACCCGGGACCCTTTGGTCCACAGGCCGACACTCTATCCACTGAGCCAAACCAGCCAGGGCTAATTAATTTTTTTCAGATGATTTCCACTGAGGATGCTTGAAAATGAGTGAGCCTCGTGGGGAAGGGGGGCGCCAGCTGTCTTGTGCAATCATGGGAGGGGTGGAGGATTGATAATCCCTACCTCCATCTCTGCAGTGCACTGGGTTCCTGTTCCTCCCCTCCTCCTTACTCTCTTACTCCCCTGACCCAAATGGGTCCAACCAAGCTGAGGGGAACTCGAGGGCTCTCAGGTATTGAAGGCCCTCCTTGTGCAGGTTCCTTGTGACACTGCAGAGCGCTGCACACCATCTCTGACTTGAAAGTCCCAATTGGCCTGAAGCTCAGAGAGGGCAAGGAACCTACTCAGGGTCACACAGCCCCTGCCTCATTTATGCTAGCAACAAGATCAGATGGGTTAGATCAGGTTTGATTGACCCAGGACCTCATCTCCTTTCTCTCCTCCTTCCTTTCCTTTCCTCTCTCCTTCCTTGAATTATTATTATTATTATTATTATTTTAGTTTCTCTATTGTTGTATCAAGATGCCAAGACAAAGGGACAATGTGGCGATGTGGTTAGGAGAAGCAGAGAGATACTGAGAGAAGAGAGAAAGATGGGAAAGGATGCAAATGCCAAGATAAGAAGACACAACGGCCCTGGCTGGTTTAGCTCAATGGATAGGGTGCCGGTCTATGGACTGAAGGGTCCCAGGTTCGATTCCAGTCAAGGGCACATGCCTGGGTTGTGGGCTCAATCCCCAGTAGAGGGTGTGTAGGAGTCAGCCGATCAATGATTCTCTCTCATCATTGATGTTTCTATCTCTCTTCCCTTCCTCCTTCCTCTTTCTGAAATCAATTTAAAAAACATACTGAAAATGGC